CTGGCACCCCTACTATTTCTCACTCTACATGCTCCCTTTTGGGATCAATTATGAATAGACTTGGTGTGTCATAACACTGTTATGCGGATACACCCAACTCTATATATGTATAAAACATAACAATAACACTAGATGTAAGAGCCTACAAGACTGTCTTCACGAACTTAAGCTGTGGCTCACTAACAACTTCATGTTGCTAAATGACAACAAAATCCAAATCATCTAATTTGGACAGACATTGTACCGATCTTGGTACCATCACACACCATACCTCACTTCCTTAGTTTAAAAACTTAGGATTTTACCTCGACAGTAGTCTTAAACTGAACAAACAAATGAATGCCACAGTTAGAGCCAGTTTTAAACATTTACGCCGATTAGCCAAAGTCAAGCCTTTTTTAAACAGAAATAGCTTTGAAACAATTATTCACACATTTAACTCAACACAAATTGACTATTGTAATTCATTATATGTCGGGCTACCTCTCTCTTCTATCTCTTGTCTCCAGATGGTTCAAAATGTGGCTGCCCATCTGCTTACTGGCAGCCTAAAACAAGATCACATCACCCCAATCCTATACTCTCTACACTGGTTACTAGTCCAATTCAGAATTGATTTTAAAATTGTATTATTTGTTCATAAATCTCTTAGCAACCAGGCCCACAAATATCCGGTTGGGAACCCCTACTGTTTTCTGAGATTTCCTGATCTCAGAAATCTGATCATTTATGATCATTTATGATCAATTTCCTGATCATTTATGAACTTACTCAATATAAAATACTGTTGTATTAGAATCTAACATTTTAATAAATTTGTAACAGTACAGTAAATATAACAGAACTAACATGAAATGCAGATATCATTAATTCAAGATTTTAAAGTTCAACATAATTCGAGAATTTATTCTGATTCAAGGGGTAATCAGAATGCCAAATCCTGACTGGGCGAGAGGAGGAGCTTTTCAAAAGATGTAAACAACACTGGTCCAGAAGCACTTCCTGTTTCAGTTTTTTAACACTACATAAAAGATACAACCAACATAACATTTAAAACTGAATCTGAAAGTTAAACAAGCATCTTTAAGATGTTTTCTTTACATGTAAAATAAAGAAAAGAGTTACAAACTGAAACAGGAAGTGTTTCTGGACCAGTGTTGTTTACATCTTGTGAAATGGTCTATATATGTCTACAGTGATTGGCGTCATATTCCTAATAGGTAGACGTGGATCAGCTGATCTGAGCTTGACTAACGTGACCTGCCAGAACTGACGCTACTCGATTTGCGTGATTTGCGTCATTATTTACCGCCCCCAAAAAAAGCACGTCTTAAACCAGACGCTAATTTGCATTGCTCTTGGTATATTGCGTTGGTCATTATGTAAATTGAAATAAACATAAATAAAATATTTTTATTGCATTTTATTAACCAAGAGTGAACAAAGCAGGCACTTACAACAATCGAGGGGAAAATACATGGGAAAAGAAGAAAGCAAGGGAAAAATAAATAAATAATGATTGAAAAATATAATATACATTTATTAAAAAAATATAATTTAAAAAGTTTTCTCAGGCTTCCCTCATCTAATATGAATGTTTTTATGATATTATTAATTATTAAGCGGGAGACAAATCACAAATACTTTTTCATACAACCTTTAAATCAGAATGCACTATTGTGAGTGCTTGTGACAGAAGCATTTTCTCTCTCTCTCTTTCTCAGTGCTGGTGTTGGCCGAACGGGCTGCTTCATTGTGATAGATGCCATGTTGGAACGTGTGAAGCAGGAGAAGACGATAGATGTTTATGGTCACGTGACTCTGATGCGATCTCAGCGAAACTACATGGTGCAGACAGAGGAGCAGTACATCTTTATTTATGATGCGCTGCTGGAGGCCGTTTCCTGCGGCAACACAGAGGTACCGGCACGAAACCTTTACGCCTACATCCAGAGACTGTCACAGACAGAACCGCCAGAGCACATCAGCGGAATGGAGCAGGAATTTAAAGTGAGTTCATCCCACCAATGTAATTCGTGAATTTGAAGGGAACAGTGACATAATTGGGAATTAAATTAAACAATCATGAGCTGAACTCAAAGTTCTAAGACTTTTTCAATGTACACAAAAGGTGTATTTCTCTCAAATATTGTTTACAAATCTGTCTAAGGGAAAACGCAAATATTTCCCTGTGGTTTGGCCTCTCGTTTACACGAAAACCCAGATTTTATCACAGAAAACGATTATTTCAAAAATTACGGCCAAAGTGGAGATTTCGGAAAACGCCGGTTATGTGTTGTCGTGTGAACTGGGAGAAACGTTGTTTTAGGTTCTCTCTTGTCGATTCTGAGGATTCTGATCGGCTTACATGGCTTTATCCTTAACCCCTACACTGCCACCAATAGGTTTGGCATAGATATGATGGCACTCGACGGCGTATTTATGCGGGTGTGTGAACGGGGGATGGGGGTCTTTTATTGTGGCCAGCCTAAGGCACACCTGTGCAATTAAGAGAGTTCAGCTCATGAAAAATGGGGGCAAAAACAAAAGTGTTGCATTTATAATTTTGTTCAGTGTATATTTTTTCTTGTTGCCGGCAGTTGTACATTGCTTTATATTGTTCATAAAATTAAGAAAATTGTTTTGCTTATTTCTTTTTTCTGTATCTCCATTTCAGCGGTTAGCTAATGCCAAAGCGCATAACTCCAGATTCGTCAGTGCCAGCCTTCCATGCAATAAGTTCAAAAACCGACTGGTCAATATCATGCCATATGAAACCACACGTGTGTGTCTGCAGCCAATCAGAGGAGTGGAGGGCTCAGACTATGTCAATGGCAGTTTTATAGATGGCTACAGGTACATTGTGAACTCTTTATATTTACTGGAACAAATAAACACAACTTCAAAATAAACCACTGACACATCAACATTTGCTGGTGAAATTCTCCATTTTTGAAGCTTTAATTTCTTTCTCATGCTCTCTAGGCAACAGAGAGCGTATATTGGGACTCAGGGGCCACTGGCAGAGACTGTTGAAGATTTCTGGCGGATGCTTTGGGAACACAATTCTACTATAGTAGTTATGCTAACTAAACTCAGAGAAATGGGAAGGGTTAGTTCACACATACACACACGTCAATAGTGTTTAGATGCTGATCAAGAACGATAACTATATTAGTGTCCACACCAGCGGGCGATATCATTCTGTTTTTTTGTTGTTGTTTTTTGTCACCTGCCCCTTTAAATGTTCAAGCTCTTTAAAGCAGGATGGATTCTGATTGGCTGTCAATATTCATTCATCAGCTGGAAAAAAAAAAAACATTTTTTGAATGTGATACCTACAATATCATTTCTTTGTGCAGTTATTGTTATATTTGTGGTGTGGACGATTTTTAGAACTTTATCTTTATACTTATAGTTGTCATCCTTGATGTAGAGGTGGGATTAGCATCCCTGTTGATGCTAATTAGTGTTATTCTAGTATTGTTTGTTCATATACTTTGAATTAGCATTTTTTTTATAGGTTTTAGTTTTGATTTTGTGCTTTTGTCATTTTCATTAGTTTTTGTTCTTCTAAAATATTACTATTTAGGTTTAATACGTTTTTCAGTTTTCAGATTTCAGTATTATTGTGCTTCATCAACTAATTCCAGTTAGCAACATTTCTAATCATCATTTGATTTACATTTTTCATCTAACATTTATATCTTGTTTTAGCATTTCATTTGACAAAAATGTTTTTAATATATTTAGTTTCAGGTAAACGGTAATAGAAGCTAATGGGTGAACGTCTTTCTTATGCAGGAGAAATGTCATCAGTATTGGCCATCTGACAGGTCAGCACGGTATCAGTATTTTGTGGTGGATCCCATGGCGGAGTACAACATGCCTCAGTATATACTCAGAGAGTTTAAAGTCACAGACGCAAGGGTAGGTCAAACACTCATTAAAATATCATGGAAACTTGTAGAGTGAATATACATTTGCCTATTGTGATGTAATACCTGACCAGTCAAATATTCGTAACTCTTACCCCACCAGCGTTTACTGAAAAAGTTGCCAACTAGCGCCAGCATTTTTGATCACACAATTTCATGGCCCCCAGAATATTTTGTTTTATGAATATGTAAAAAGTTAATATATCAAAAGAAAGAATTGAGTCTCTGTTTTTAAAGACCCATTTTATTCTAGCTTCATTTATTCTTTTTTATCAAGACCACAAACAACAAACAAAAAGCTGAGAAAATCTTGTTTTTCTCAAAGACTTCACCCAGATCAGATTTAGAACGATGATCTAAACATAGATAGAGTAGACTGAGACCATCAACACCCCCAAAGATTCACAGTCCTATACCTTTTTGTGGGATCGACATTTTTCTCTGTTACGTTTGGCAGTTTTGATTTTATATGCTGTTGAATATTTAATGATCATATTAGCTTTCTTGTGCATAAGCAACTTTTATCCGATTCTTCTGTGCTGTGTCTGAAATCGCCCATTATACACTCATTCACTATTCCCTACAGTAGTCCACTAATGTAGTCCACTTGAAGGAGTGAGTGAATTCGGAAGGGCTGCTGCTTTTGCGTAGTTTGTGCTTGCTGTTTAATAATTATTTGAAACTTTAGCAAACTGGCAGCTCCAGTAAGATGAAAAGATATGTGTAAACCTTAAATAAACAATCATAGCCACATTGGACCAGTGGTTTGGAAAATGGATGGATGGGTGATTCGGCTGTGGAATTCATTCGGCATTATATCATAAATAATGGAAAATCTCTTCAATAGTGGAGAAAGAGTTAAATGGCTTGTATTGCTTTTGTGTGAAACTTGCATTAGTGCTGTCTGATGCTTTGAGTTGGTTCTTATATATATATATATATATATATATATATGTGTGTGTGTATTATATAAATCCTTTACATGGTGTGAGTTGGTTCTTTTGAATGATTCAGTCAGATCGATTGGTCTGCATAAATTATTAGCATTGGGATTTCCAACTTTTACAGACCAGAGACTCCCAGAATAAAAAAAGCTAGGTTTTCTCGATTACACTTTATGAAACTTTAATTTGGAACATTAACTAACATTACTACTATATATAATGCTTAAAAGTCAGCTGGCAAATTATTTATTAGTTAGAAATGTCATGAAAATGTTATATGTTTTATAAAACTTCTCCACACAGAACCCTGGTTGAGATGCTGCTGCTGTCTGTCTGTCTCTCACTGGTGTGTCTCTCTTCTAGGACGGGCAATCCAGAACGGTCCGGCAGTTTCAGTTCACGGATTGGCCAGAGCAGGGTGTGCCAAAATCTGGTGAAGGCTTCATTGATTTCATCGGTCAAGTGCACAAAACAAAAGAGCAGTTTGGTCAGGATGGGCCGATCTCAGTACATTGCAGGTGAGGAAAATAAATCCTAAATAATTTAGGATGTATTTTATTCCTTTTTTTATTATGTGTTCAGTGGTTATTTTGGCTGACTTCATTTTTTTTTAAATCTTTTTGCAAGGTTACCTACCAAATATAAAATATATACAATAGATTTGAGTCAAATCACTTCATTATTTGCTTACAGTTCATATTTAACCGCAAAATGTCATGATTCAAGTCTTACAAAGAGTTGTGAACTAAAATGAATTCTCACATGTTCTGGGATGTGCGTGTGCAGTGCTGGCGTTGGCAGGACAGGTGTATTTATCACTCTGAGTATAGTATTGGAGAGGATGCGTTACGAGGGAGTGGTCGACATCTTCCAGACTGTCAAAATGTTGCGTACTCAAAGACCAGCCATGGTGCAGACAGAGGTGAGAATGTGTCCTGCAACCCATATCATGCAGTACTGATGTCTTTCTACCCATAATTTCATCATTGCTTTAGACTAGTAAGAGTTAATCACTTTTAAAACCGCTGAAAAATTCTGTTGATGTTAAAATACCTTTTCCCGTCGTAGCTTAACATGCAGTTGTTGGTTGACTCTCCCTAAAAGCTCTATTTGCTCCATTTAGAAACATTGGCTCAAGCGATGACATCATGTTTTTTTTTTTTTTTTCATTATTGTGACTTTCTATGCCATGATTTATTTTATTTCTTACTATTGTGACTTTATATCTCACACATGACTTTTCTTATAATTTTGACTTAATGTATCATAAATACAACTTTCTCCTCATAATCTCCTTTATTTAGTAGTTGACTTTAGTTCTTACAATTGTGACTTTATTTCTCACATTTGTGCTTTATTACTTGTGATTATTTGTGACTATTGTTATTCAAGAAACAAAAAACAAATATTAGACATTTTTTTTGTTATTGTGACTTTATAGCTCATAATTTTCTCAAAAATATCAAAAATAAGCTCAAAAATATTACTCATTATTATGACTTTATATTCCTCAACTGTGGCTTTCTAGTAACTGATTTTTATATCTCATAATTACAACATTTTTTCTTATAATTATGACTTTATTTCTCATTGTGACTTCATATGACATAATTGATAATTTCTTACAATTGTGACTCTATTACTCTTAATAATGACTTCATATCTCACAATTGTTACTGAATATTTTACACAAAATAATATACAAAGTTTATATTACTCTCCATTTTACTTTTATCTTGGAAGTGTAAAAGTAGTAACATTGCAGTAGTATACTGATCAGCTCTGAGATTCGGATCAAATGATGTGTGTGTGTGTGTGTGTGTTTGCCCTTCACAGGAACAGTACCAGTTCTGCTATCGAGCTGCGCTGGAATACCTGGGCAGTTTTGATCACTATGCAACCTAAAACCTTTCCCTGGACCAAGAGCCACGTCATCACCCACCGAGACCTGCGTCTGATCAATCTGACTGCCTCTTTGTGTTGCCCACAGCTCCAGAGTCTGTTTGAGTTCTCTAGACAGCACACGTTTTAACAGCCAGTCAGGGAGGGCAGCTGAGATACAGAATTGTCACAACAAATTGTTGCTGTAATCATTTAGCTGAAAGTTGTCAAGTCATATTCGGGGGTTGAGTGCAGATTTGGCATTACAGCTAACAGGCCAACACATCCAATGAAATCTCCTGAAATCATCCATGTGCCGTCTGGACCAATTCAACAGACCAATGAGACTGTGGGAGACGACAATAATCAACAATTTGATGGTACTTCTTATGTCATAATTTGTTTAACAAAAAAAAAAAAAGTAAGGTCATGCAGTCCGGGTTTAGCGTTTCCACTATTTTTTTTTTTTGTCACCAGTTGTATAGTGGATCCACCAACTCACTTGTTTAAGTGATAGGGACAAAATGAAGTTCAAAAGAACCCCTAAGTATTGGTGCTTATGCCAGTAACCTGTTCGTTTATCTGTAGCACACACACATAGATATATACGTACATATCTATCACAGATTTAAGACAAGGAGAAATAACACAAGCTGAAAATGGAGATTTGTCTCAAAAACTGTGCAATATTGAACGTGATGGCACCTTCAAGTTTTAAACCACTCAAGTATTAGCGATATTGTCACTGTAATTATATTGTCTCATTAATCCTATACAATGTAAAGTATAAAACAAATTTGTTATTACGCATATTAGCTATATATATATAAATATATATATAAACTGTCAATGTATTGAGTGATATTTATACTATGTGAGTGAGGTTCTTGTCAATGCACACAAGTTAAGAAAAGTATTGACTGCAGTAAAATTTTAAAGTTTTTTTTTTTTTTTTTCCACTAAACTATTACCAAAATAATTATTGAGATGCTTTCGATCAGGTTTGGAAGTTCAAATGTTGGAGCTTAACTCTCTAAACATGAGTTGATGTGTTCAAAACAATAACATAATGGATCATTTGACACTGGTAGTGCCTTATCATAGTCACATGTTTAAAATGGTTATATGTTCAATATTTATGGATATGAACCTGCTTTTATCTTTAAAAAACACATATAAAACAATATATATATATATAAAACAGAATTAAATACAGTTATATCCACCCGAGTAAATTTTAATATATGATATATTTCACACACAGACCAACTTGAAGTATCAGTGCGGTTTATTCATTGAGGTGAAGTACTGCCAAGAAGACTAGACAATTATATTATTGAAAGCCAATATGTGTCCATTTTTGAGAGGGCACACGTTTATTGCATCTATATTGGGCCAAGAGAATTGCATATTCCATTACATATATAATAGCTATTACATTATAAATGATTTGCATTTGAAATTATAATTCAGTAAAGTTTTCCGCAGTTTCAGTCCATACCGCTGCAGGAAACTTCCAGTTCTAATGGTTAATGTCTGCTTTCTTGTTTATCAGTGTTGTGAGGTGTCATCATCTTCACATATGTTTGAAAGCATCAATGATGTTGGTGTGTCAACATCAACAAAAAGAGGATATGACTTTTTCTTGCCGGTGAGGACTCATTCGAAAGGCAGAGCTACTTGCTTCAAACTAAATGAAATTGAAACATGTTCAGTGTAAGTTTGATGTCTAAAATTTGATTAATAAACATCAATGCATGACAAATTAGAGCTACAACATAAAAATGACCCTGACGTCTCTATATGAGTGTCATGGCCCATGACGGTCTGGTTATGGGTTTGGAAATGACTGCACTCTTGTTCTATGCACTAACCCTTACTATTTCTTCAACACAGAATGTTATTTGTATTGAACGAGATTAATTTCACAGTGTTGCTCACAGTGTGTGCATGTAAAGAGAAAAATAAGTTTTGGTTACAAAGCTTAAGACAATATGCGCATAATGTTATTGTTGAATACTTTAGATGACAGGGTGGTATAAAATGAGTGATTTTTCTTCTAATAGTCATCATTCAGTAATTCCCAAGGAAGTCTGGTCACTGCGAACTTCAGCTCATTTTACTTTCGGTGTAAGGAAATGTTTCTTTCTTTGCAACATCTTTGTCTTTGAGTACTTTTTTTTTTAACCAGAGTTGAGTTAGTTTTGTATTTGAAAATCTATCTTGCAAATCTACCTTCTCCATATTGTTACACCTTACAGCATATTAATATCACAACCAAGTTTCAGGGTTTTTTCAACTTTCAACTTTTGTTGAAACTAGCTATGCTTATTTTTTCAAGAGGATATACATTAGCGTTTGTGTAATGGGACATTATCTGCTAATGTCAAAAAAATAAAAAAATAAATTCATCTATTTTCCAGTGCATGACAGTCCCCATTTGTACAATATGAAGGCACCATCTGATTTTGATGAATCATGACATTGTTTCATGTGAAAAATAAACTAGCACAATCTATATCATGTAATCTGACCAAATATGCATTGTATCACAATTTTCATATTGTCAAATGTTGTGAGTGGTTTTACAATTTCACCCATCAAGTAATGTGAAACACGAAAGGGAAATCTTTTACCTCTGATTTTGTAGTAAATGTAAATATTTCAGAGGACGTTTTCTTTTTTAATTTCCTACTTTATGTTGTAAGGACAGCTGTGTGAGAATACAATTGTATTGGAAAAATTTTATTTGTTACAAATAAAATGGTAAGAATAGTCCAGTGAGTCATTATTTATTTCCTCTTGGTAATGGTTTGTGGGGCTTTCTATTATTCACAACAAGTGATTGGTTATAGGCCTATTGACCAGTGAAATGGCCGTGATATAGCCTAGACAAACGTCTCGGTTACGTATGTAACCCTCGTTCCCTGAGTAGGGAACGAAGATGTTACGTCGGATGACGAGAATGGGGTTTCGTTTAGAAAGCCTGTCATCTTCAAATATTATAAAACGAGACAATGGCGATGAAATGCCATGGGTCTGTGGAATTTGCATAGCGTATCTCCGCCCCACCGCATGGGTATTTAAAGGGTTAGTTCACCCAAAAATGAAAATTAAGTCATTAATTACTCACCCCCATGCTGTACCAACCCCGTAAGACCTTCGTTCGTCTTCGGAACACAAATGAAGATATTTTTGAATTAATTTGAGAGCTGTATAACTCCCACATAGGCTCCTAAGGGACTGGCTCTTGACGGCCCAGAAAGTCAATGAAGAAAGTGTTTAAATATTCCATGTGACTACAGTGGCTCAACTATAAGTTTATCAAGCGACGAGAGTACTTTTTGTGCGAAAAAACAAACAAAAATAACGACTTTATTCGACTATTCCTTTTCTTCCTTGTTGGCCTGAAACGAGACTTCCATAGATTTCCACGACGCATGCGCGAGAACTGAACTGAAGTAGTTGAAGGAGATCGCAATTCTCGAGCATGCGTCGTGGAAATCTAAGGAAGTCTCATTTCAGGCCAACAAGGAAGAAAAGGAATAGTCGAATAAAGTCGTTATTTTTGTTTGTTTTTTCGCACAAAAAGTACTCTTGTCAAATTTAATAAAAAATATCTTCATTTGTGTTCCGAAGATGAACGAAGGTCTTACAGGGTTGGAACAGCATGGGGGTGAGTAATTAATGACTTAATTTTCATTTTTGGGTGAACTAACCCTTTAAGGACAATGCAGACCCAATGGCAGTCATGTCTTCGCTGAGGAGCCGGGACTGAACTCAGGCGTCTACCCAGCGGTACAGCGGAAGTGGCAGGGAGACGTAACCCTAAACATTTGTAAATGTTAAAAATGGCTCTATAGCGGTAAGGGGAAACCGGAAAAGCTACACTGCTGAAATTATGTATAATCTGACCTATCACAGCCCTTGCTGTCTGCGTCGCCTCGATGCGTAGTTACAAATTTTTGGAGGTGCACGTCGAGCTACAGCGGAGGGTTCGGAGAGGGGTTCGTGTTGACGCAGAGGGGTCTGCGGGGGTACGCCGTCGTTTCGACGCAGAAGCATAAAACAGGCTTAACCCTACTCAGGGAACGAGGGTTACAAACGTAACCGAGACGTTCCCTTTCGTAGTCACTCCGAGTTACGTTGGATGACGAGAATGGGGTCCCCGTGTAATCACGCCACCTTCACAGCTGTCGTCCAGTGCCCTGCGAAAGTCTGATCCCTCTGTCGTGAATTTGGCACGGACGAAGGAGTCCTACTTAATGCAGGAATACCAAGGTACACTGGGAAACATATCTCAGAGGAAATATGCCTACCCGTAGGGAGGACTTAGGAATACACATATGGCCCAATATGGGGGGCTTCATATGGAAGAACACTAAAGTATCCAGCCCGTGGGGTGGCAACTTTCAACTCCAAGAGTGGCAAGGTGGCTTGCCAAGGGAAAGACACATGCTCAAGGAGGCTTACAGTAGAAATACACGTGGGGGTTGCTCAGAGGAGGAACCATGCACACGGAGGCACCAAGACACACGCAGGCCATAGACACTGGTGCCAGCGTCAACAGTGCTGGAGGAACTCATTGCTTCAGACAGGAAGGCTCACCTGAGGAGAATATTGCACGTATCCAGTCCATGGAGTGGAATGGCAAGCAAGCTAAGACACCTGAGCGGATCCAGTACTAGCTGGTTGAAGCGAGTACGCGAGAGGACACAGGCTCCACTTGGAGATTATAGAATCTGGCGAATGAGTTAGCTGTTGCCCAGCCTGCAGCTCTGCATATGTCTGCCAGCGACGCGCCATACGCTAGAGCCCAAGAAGAAGCCACACTCCGGTTGGAGTGTGCCGTCACACCTAGGGGCCTTGCTGCTGGTAAGCCAAAGCAATGGCGTCAACTATCCAGAGGGACAACTTCTGCTTTGAGAGAGCCTTTCCCTTCAGTCTCCTGAAACACCGTGTTCTGTATACGTAAGCACGGAGTGCGCATACTGGACAGAGCAGTGCTAAGGCTGGGTCTGCCTTCTCCAAGGGCAGCGCTTGCAGGCACGGCCGCATTAACCATAGGGCTAGGCGGGGCTAAAGCCCCGGGGCCCGAGAAGCCTCTCGCTGCATCCTGCGGTGGACATCCAACCCGGCCCCATCCAAGTGTGACGTCAGAAGCTACCACGCCCATGCCCAAATTGGACACATTCTCGTTAACATTTAAAAACAGGAAGAACTATCGAGAAGAGAAGACTAGAAGACGAAGGTAACTGCGAAACAAAATGCACAAAACACACTTGCGGTTTTAGTATAAACACTGTTTAACATAGCCTAATACGAATGAGCTGTATGAGAATGAGATGTTACCTGTTGTAAGCTGCTCTTATCACTTTATTAGTAGTTTGTAATGTGTGCGGCTGATCACTTGACTAGCATGCCTGCTCCGCAATTAGCGTGAAAGCCCGCGATATGTAATAATTTATTACGGGTAGCTAAACTTAACATTTCATATTTGACATAATTTTTTAGGTCATAAATGTTAAACGAATGACAAAAAATAATCAGGCAAACTAATAGCCATTTTGAACTGAAAATTAGTATAAAAAATAGTAACGTGTAATGTAATTAGTTTACTGTCATTGTTGTGAGGGGACAAGAAACATTAACAAAGCCGTTTTCATCATTTTAGGCACATGAGTAATAATGAATGTATACATATTGAGAATATAATACAAATTGTAGCCTTTAGTACAAAGCTAAGTCTTCAGAGGGGAAGAGAAAGTGATGAAGAGACTGAGGAAAAAAGAAAGAGTGAGATGAGAGGTGAGGCTCTCCTCTCCTTTGACAAATAATCTACTGCCCACTGACATGGTTTTAAAGCAATTTCATATCCTTTTTTTAGGTCTTCAAACATCTTGAAAATGCAAATATCAGATAACTAAAAAATGTGAAGCCCCTACCAACCTCAAATTTAGGACCTCTTTGATTATAAAGCCCTGTATTAGGCATACAAACAATAATAAATGTGTAGCCTATACATATTGTGAATGCATTTGATAAACTTAATTACCAAGCTTTAGCTTTCAGTAAATAAACGCGTCTGAAAAAAAATTATTCATAGGCAAAATCAACCTATATCAGTTGACCCTATGTTTACTTTCTTCACTGACAGAAAAATGAAAAGCCTATATCAGTCAAAGCTCAGTTAGGAGTTAAATTTAAACTTAAATTTAGCTTATCCTTACATTTTTTGTTTGTTTTTGGGGGCGTGTTAGAGTGGGATTTTGTTAGGTGGTCCTCAGAAAAAAAATGGAAGATAAAGTGGTCCTTGGGCTGAAAAAGTTTGAGAAACACTGGTCTAGAGCCTCCATTTTTGCACTCAGGTTTAAGTCTCATGGCCCTCTATCAGAATCCAGAGTTTTGAGAGGATTGGAGAAACTTCATTTTTCGCCTGAAAAAAAAAAAACGAAAGGGGTACCACTGTCGTTTTTTTTTTTTCGGGTCGAAATTTTGAGTTTCGATATCTCAGCTCTGGAAGGGTCTAGAGCCTCCATGTTTGCACTCAGGTTTAAGTCTCATGGCCCTCTATCAGAATCCAGAGTTTTGAGAAGATTGGAGAAACTTTATTTTTCGCCCGAAAAAAAAAAAAAAAACGAAAGGGGAACCACTGTCGTTTTTTTTTCGGGTCGAAATTTTGAGTTTCGATATCTTAGCTCTGGAAGGGTCTAGAGCCTCCATTTTTTGCACTCAGGTTTAAGTCTCATGGCCCTCTATTAGAATCCAGAGTTTTGAGAAGATTGGAGAAACTTCATTTTTCGCCCGAAAAAAAAAAAAACGAAAGGGGTACCACTGTCGTTTTTTTTTCGGGTCGAAATTTTGAGTTTCAATATCTCAGCTCTGGAAGGGTCTAGAGCCTCCATTTTTGCACTCAGGTTTAAGTCTCATGGCCCTTTATCAGAATCCAGAGTTTTGAGAGGATTGGAGAAACTTCATTTTTCTCCTGAAAAAAAAAACGAAAGGGGTACCACTGTAGTTTTTTTTTTCGGGTCGAAATTTTGAGTTTCGATATCTCAGCTCTGGAAGGGTCTAGAGCCTCCATTTTTGCACTCAGGTTTAAGTCTCATGGCCCTCTATTAGAATCCAGAGTTTTGAGAAGATTGGAGAAACTTTATTTTTCGCCCGAAAAAAAAAAACGAAAGGGGTACCACTGTCGTTTTTTTTTTTTCGGGTCGAAATTTTGAGTTTCGATATCTCAGCTCTGGAAGGGTCTAGAGCCTCCATTTTTGCACTCAGGTTTAAGTCTCATGGCCCTCTATCAGAATCCAGAGTTTTGAGAGGATTGGAGAAACTTCATTTTTCGCCTAAAAAAAAAAACCAAAGGGGTACCACTGTCGTTTTTTTTTCGGGTCGAAATTTTGAGTTTCGATATCTCAGCTCTGGAAGGGTCTAGAGCCTCCATTTTTGCGCTCAGGTTTAAGTCTCGCGGCCCTCTATCATAATCCAGAGTTTTGAGAAGATTGGAGAAACTTGATTTTTCGCCCGAAAACTGAAAAAAACGTAAGGGGTAACACTGTCGTTTTTTTTTCGGGTCGAAATTTTGAGTTTCGATATCTCAGCTCTGGAAGGGTCTAGAGCCTCCATTTTTGCGCTCAGGTCAAAGTCTCGCGGCCCTCTATCATAATCCAGAGTTTTGAGAAGATTGGAGAAACTTGATTTTTCGCCCGAAAACTGAAAAAAACGTAAGGGGTAACACTGTCGTTTTTTTTTCGGGTCGAAATTTTGAGTTTCGA